TTCCGACGTGTGAAAATTGCAGCAAATAGTGCTATTCGGTCAAACGCGACCTGCTGAGCACAACGCGCTGAGTTTCAGCTCGATTGGTGAATAGTTCGTGAGATATCACAAAATGTTGGAAAATTCCGGGGTTGGCAAAAAATGGAAAATTTTTTGAAAATTCCGGGGTTGGCAAAAAATGAAAATTTTTTGAAAATCCAGGGGTTGGCTAAAAAATGAAAATTTTTTGAAAATCCCGGGGTTGGCAAAAAAGTGACAATTTTTTTAAAATTCTTGGGCTGGCGAAAAAATTAAAATTTGTTGAATATTCCGGGGTTGGCAAAAAATGAAAATTTTGGGAAAATTCCGGGGTTGGCAAAAAATGAAAATTTTTTGAAAATTCCGGTGTTGGCAAAAAAATAGAAAATTTTTTGAAAATTCCGGGGTTGGCAAAAAAATGAAATTTTTTTGAAAATTCCGGGGTTGGCAAAAAATGGAAAATTTTTTGAAAATTCCGGGGTTGGCAAAAAATGAAAATTTTTTGAAAATCCCGGGGTTGGCAAAAAATGAAAATTTTTTGAAAATCCCGGGGTTGGCAAGAAAGTGACAATTTTTTTAAAATTCTTGGGCTGGCGAAAAAATTAAAATTTGTTGAATATTCCGGGGTTGGCAAAAAATGAAAATTTTTTGATAATTCCGGGGTTAGCAAAAAATGAAAATTTTTTGGAAATTCCGGGGTTGGCAAGAAAGTGACAATTTTTTGAAAATTCCGCGGCTGGCGAAAAAATGAAAATTTGTTGAAAATTCCGGGGTTGGCAAAAAATGGAAAATTTTTTGAAAATTCCGGGGTTGGCAAAAAATGAAAATTTTTTGAAAATTCTTGAGCTGGCGAAAAAATTAAAATTTGTTGAATATTCCGGGGTTGGCAAAAAATGAAAATTTTTTGAAAATTCCGGGGTTTGCAAAAAATGAAAATTTTTTCAAAATTCCGGGGTTGGCAAAAAAATGAAAATTTCTTGAAAATTCCGGGGTTAGCAAAAAATGAAAATTTTTTCAAAATTCCGGGGTTGGCAAAAAAATGAAAATTTTTTGAAAATTCCGGGGCTGGCGAAAAAATTAAAATTTGTTGAAAATTCCGGGGTTGGCAAAAAATGAAAATTTTTGAAAATGCCGGGGTTAGCAAAAAATGAAGATTTTTTGAAAATTCCGGGATTGGCAAAAAAATGGAAATTTTTTGAAAATTCCGGGGTTGGCAAAAAAAATGAAAATTTTTTGAAAATTCCGTGGTTGGTAAAAAAGTGAACATTTCTTGAAAATTCCGGGGTTGGCGAAAAATGAAAATTTTTCGAAAATTCCGGGGTTGGCAAAAAATGAAAATTTCTTGAAAATTCCGGGGTTGGCAAAAAAATGAAAATTTTTTGAAAATTCCGGGGTTGGCAAAAAAATGAAAATTTTTTGAAAATTCGGGGTGGGCAAAAAATGAAAATTTTTTGAAAATTCTGGGGATTGGCAAAAAAATGAAAAGTTTTTGAAAATTTCGGGGTTGGCTAAAAAATGAAAATTTTTTGAAAATTACGGTGTTGGCAAGAAAATGAAAATTTTTTGAAAATTCCGGGGCTGGCGAAAAAATTAAAATTTGTTGAAAATTCCGGGGTTGGCAAAAAATGAAAACTTTTTGAAAATTCCGGGGTTAGCAAAAAATGAAGATTTTTTGAAAATTCCGGGGTTGGCAAAAAAATGAAAATTTGTTGAAAATTCCGGGGTCGGCAAGAAAATGAAAGTTTTTTGAAAATTCCGTGGTTGGTAAAAAAGTGAACATTTCTTGAAAATTCCGGGGTTGGCGAAAAATGAAAATTTTTTGAAAATTCCGGGGTTGGCAAAAAATGAAAATTTTTGAAAATTCCGTGGTTGGCAAGAAAATGAAAATTTTTTGAAAATTCCGTGGTTGGTAAAAAAGTGAACATTTCTTGAAAATTCCGGGGTTGGCGAAAAATGAAAATTTTTTGAAAATTCCGGGGTTGGCAAAAAAATGAAAATTTCCTGAAAATTCCGGGGTGGGCAAAAAATGAAATTTTTTTGAAAATTCCGGGGTTGGAAAAAAAATGAAATTTTTTTGAAAATTTCGGGGTTGGTTAAAAAATGAAAATTTTTTGAAAATTACGGGGTTGGCAAAAAATGAACATTTTTTGAAAATTCCGGGGTTGGCAAATAAATGAAAATTTTTTGAAAATTCCGGGGATTTTTTTTCTATAAACTTAGTTCTTCATGTAAAAAGAATATAGGGGATCTTGAGAACTATAGTTACTATGTGAGATGAGCGCGAGCAAATCTGGTCGTAGATGCGCAAAGTATCAATCTATTTTTTCGTACTGACTAGACACACGTTACATAATAATCTGTAGTAAAACATATAGAAATATTACACGTTACACCCATTATTTTTAAAAATATATATATAGTTTTACTTTTATATAAAATTGGGTGTAATGTGTCATATTTCTATATATTTTACTATAGATTATTATGTAAATTAGGTGTAACATGTAGTGTAACGTTTCAGCGTTTGCTTAATGAAGCCAAGTGCATACAATTTACATGAACTAATCACTTTAGATTAGTTGGTGGACATCTCACAAGCACAACAACATATATAGCGGTTGCACTCATTCCGCAGGGACCAACTCAGCAAAGCCATGGCCGCCATGTTGGTGTTCCAGACCAAAGAGTCTAACTAAAATTATTTTGAATTGGAACACTAACATGGCGGCTATGTCGTCATGTGCAAACGCTCTATACTGCAGTATAAATGACAAAGATTTCTTATTTTTCGTCATATGGCTAAGCTGAGGAACTGTCACATAATGACTCCCCCCTCGGCAAATGATGGCTGATTGAGCTTGAAAGGGCGTAAGAGTGGTTAACAGGGGCGTAGGAAGCATCTTTAAGTCGAGGGGCGCCATTAACGATGAGGGCACTTGCCAGCTGAGAAATTGGTCATATGTTACTGTATATTACCAAAATGAACTAGTAACAAATAGATAACATTTTGCAGTTGTCTATTCAGTTATATGTGCACAGTATGATGTCAAAATGTGGCAAGAACAAAAAAAGTGGCCCAGGAGGAAGCAACTGAACAGACAACGGAAAAATGTTGTCTATTTGTTTTATATAATAAAAAATTATTTATTCTAAATATTTATTTGCCACAAAACATTTGGAATACAGAAGAGTCGAACAGATTCAAAGTTTTGAAGTTCATACTTTGAAATTGAACACATTTTGAGACTGAAAAAGGAAATAAAATGAACGAAAACCGGTAGTTATTGGAAAAATTTCATATAGTCAAGAAGAAAATATGGCATCCTCGTACCCAGGGTCTTTTTGGGAAAGACCCTGGTAGCGGCTGGTTACGTGACTCTACAAAAATTTATTGCCCAAGGGGGAGTGGCAAAGTATCAAATTACATGCTTCCACAGAAAACGTTAAATTTCAAATACCAGGACTGGGATTTTACGATATATAGTTTGAAGCGCCCGCTAACTTCTATTTTATACCTCCGTTTGCTTTTAAATTAAAAAAAACACTGTAGCATTTTATCAACAGTCAAGTCAAGAAACAAATAAATGTATACTTTAAACTTTGAAGTTGGGTATTCCCTTGAAACATATTTTCATATCAAACTGGTCAGTCCTCAACGTTTGTACATTTTCACTTTTATCTGTTCCAAAAATATAACATTAGATTTCTTGTTTGAAAACGTTGATAAACTTTGTGCAGATTTACTAATAGTACGCGTCTCATTTTATAGTGAAGGTTGAAATAATTTTGAAATGTAATTAACTTTTTGTCACAAATCACAATGTTTTAAACATGTGGACACTGCCGAACAGAGACTAAATGCTCACTTTAAAACTGTCGATGGTTTATCTTTGAAAATACTTTTAATTAAATAGTTCGTCATATTTTTTTAGAAACCCTGTAGATCGGTAGGGTAGGAGGTTGGCAGGTAGTAAAGTACAACAATTTTCAGCCTCAGGGCGTGTATCATCAGGTGGTATATACAATCACGGCTTTAATTGCCTTTAATAGCCTGATAATTTTTTGGCCTCCATGCACTAAGTAATGGGGTAACAGCAATATTTATAACAGTATTTTTTTGATATACAGTACACACTTTATAATATGAACATAGTCATAGATAATTCCATTTGTCCCTCATCCCACTTGTTGCCAAGGCTATGTCTGTACTTCATGCTGGTAAAAAAGACAATCTGATTTATAACGCTGCTCGCTGCTTTGGAGAACAAAACCATGGAGATGTTAGTCCTATAATGCCATTGGATAGAATGCCCTTTATAGCAGTGAAGGCCCCTTGGCCATTTTTATCAGTATTTTGTATAAATGCTGTTACACAACTAATTCAGATAAAGTTTGAGAAATGGTGGTTCTTATGCACCTATCAATGTTAAGCCCCAGAGAGGGGGGTCGGACACATGTGGGGCATTTGATTTTTTGATCAAATTTTCAATCAAATGCCCCACTGTTGGGCAATAAATATTGGTCAAATACCCTACCATTTTGGAATAAATTGCAATAAATACTATATTAATAAAAGTCATTTTGGTTGAAATTGCCCCAACTTGGGCCCAAATGCTAATCCATAGTTAACTATGGCTAATCAAAATCCCTAGGGTGGAGATGCAATTAATGATCAAATACCCCACATGTGGGAGTTAACATTGATAGGTGCATTATATGCAGGTTTTTCTTGTATTCTCATATAATGTGCCTTAATTAAAGTATTAGCAGCATGTTATTGTGGGACCTTTGATCAATATTATTGTATATAAATAGCCAAATTTTTGTTTTATTGCTGCATTAATTTTAATGAAAATTTACTCACAAAATTGGTCAAGTGAATGTATAAACTATTTAGTTATTCATTTCGTACAGCACATGTTACAATTATGTACTTATTAATTGCATGAGTGTGCATGACAGACATTGTTTTAATTGCACCCACTTGTGATTAAATTAACCTAGTTTTTGTTTAATTTAAAAATGCTGAAAAAATCTAAAAAGTTAACCAATTGAAATAACAGCATTTCCATAACTTGCTAATCCTAGTCAGTTGCTATTATATCACAAACATCTGTCAACGTACACTCATGCTCTTATTCACTCTTTATGGAATTTTTGGATAAAATCCTATTTTAATTTTAAAAACTCAACCCTATACTTGATATGCTGAACATAGACCTCTAAAATAGCTCCTGCGGCAATTAGTGGGTGCAAATACTCGCATAGTTCAGAACCAATATAACCAACATGTGTCCATCCTGTTCCATGGTCTAGATCAATTGCACTTGGGTCCATTGAATTCAATTGCTCTGGCCAATGAAGAGCGAGGTGTGCCTGTTCCAAAATGATGTTGGTAGTTTTTCTCATGAGCAGCACCGATGCACTTTAGTAGACAAACTCACAATCCGAGTGTTGTTTTGCGATAAATGTATTTCTAACTAAAAAACTTTTACAACAACAACATGTTATATGTCATGCAAATTTGAATAAATCTAAATAACCTAAATTGTCTATTGTCCTAAATTGAATATAAACCAACTAATGTCAAAAACACTATTAATTAACGACCTATTAATGACATACAGCATGGTCACTTTCATCCTCATCACTTAACTGATCACCACTTTCTGCCCCATCACCTTCATTACCATTTTCTGCCCTATCACCTTCATTACCTGACCAGGTTCAAGACCAGTCAAACACTCAAATAAATCTCTTTCTACAAAATCATAACAAGAAAAATTTTATTATTTTATACATACACTGTAATCTCTAAAATTAGCAATCTAATGCACAAGTGTGTCACTATTCACAGTAATATTAGAACAACACACAAATATGGCAATATTATTTACAGATGAAAATTGAAAATATATATATATACTGTATGCACATATATAAAAAATCTATCCACAACTAGATACAAACAGGCATCATACTTCAGCAAAAATTTATTAAACAATTTGTTTAACTCAAAATATGTACATAATGTATCGCAGTGACACAGTACATAGTAGACACAATAGGGTCAAACTAGAGGCAATAAACACAAATATTACGCTATAATTTTGTACAGTATATTTATGAAATTACAGTACAGTACAGTACAGTACAGTACAGTACAGTACAGTACAGTACAGTACAGTACAGTACAGTACAGTACAGTACAGTACAGTACAGTACAGTACAGTACAGTACAGTACAGTACAGTACAGTACAGTACAGTACAGTACAGTACAGTACAGTACAGTACAGTACAGTACAGTACAGTACAGTACAGTACAGTACAGTAAAGTACAGTACAGTACGGTACAGTACAGTACAGTACAGTACAGTACAGTACAGTACAGTACAGTACAGTACAGTACAGTACAGTACAGTACAGTACAAGAATAAAAACAACAAAGCGGAAATTTGACTAAATAACCAGATAACTGTAATGTATTGTAGTATACCAAGTACCAACCTTAAATACTGCGCTTGTTTTCACGTTGATGATACACGGAGATTTAACGCTATCCAACTTAGAAAGAAGAGCCTTGCTATTGGGAATATTTATATAAACACAATTCCTTCGCTCAGACGGATTATTTATAAACTAAACTAAAATGACAGCACGTCCAATGCAATTTAAAGCTGGGTTACAGTCCATTCTGCGCATGTCTCAAATGTGTACACATTTTGTAAACATTGTCATAGATTAAATATTACGTAATACTAACTGTTAGAATTTCAGAGAAGATGGCTGACGCACAGGAGTGCCAAAATTCTAATTGTTTTTAACTCGCTTATATATTCACATCAAAGCAAGAAATAAGAAATAATTTATATCTAAAAAGATGTATCTAAAGTGTGTTTTTACGAATATTTATAGTTATTCCGTTGTGCAATTGTTTCAAAATCAAATAGAAACTAATGTGTATGAAGCCGCTTGTGTATCTTGCTCGGTGAAACTAAACGTGAAAGTAATTTGTGGTGTTGGATTGGCAAAATTAAATTATACAAAATAATATGAATTCCCCCCAGTCATTGGATAAGTAAGCTCTTGTTACAAATGGAAATGCATATCAAATATCAATTTCAACACGTTACAGCAAAGTTGACAATGGCCGACTCGCGACCATCTACTGGAGAGTTTCAAAGGCAAATCCTTCTAATGCATTTATGGTCGCCAGAATCAACCAGGAAATCGAAAAGAATATTTCACGAAAAGGTATGCATCGAAATTGTAGTATTGGTCGGTTGAATCATTTCAAAACTGAAGCTGGAATCAAAAGTGACGAGGGTTCGCGAATACTCTGCTGATCGAGCTTGTATACACAACATCAAGACATATTTAATTGTTTATTGTGGTAAGTACATACAGATATCCCTGAACATTTCAATTATGTTAATATTGTTATATTTCGTCATTACAAAACTTTATTGTGCACTTATAGCGCTGTGGAAACCCAGACGGATCAGCAGACATATGAAACAATGCCGCCATGAGCCATTGCCACTTTGCAGACAATGTTCAGCAAGTATATGTTCAGTATATGTTCAGCAAGTATATTTTCAGTATATGTTCAGCAAGGGAAACAGTGATGGAATCATGTAAAAATTCTTACTCCTAAGCAGTACGAATACATTATACAACTTGCAATGAAGGTATGTATAAATTTTATGCTTTCCTGGTGAGAAAAAATATGACTTTTGGTTTTTATCGTGAAATCCATTTTCTTATCACATATTCAAACAAATCTTTTGATCATTCTGTAGACATGTTAAGGGCACCACAGTAGCACCTGCTGATTGATATGTTTAGACTTTAGAGCATTAATTAGAGCACTTAAATGTTTTTTTGGAAGCCAAATTTTGATTTGAATGAACATGCAGTTACTGTAATAAAATCAAAATTTGGCTTGATTAAGTGCTTTTAAAACACATTGCTCAGCAGACACTAATGTGCATTTAAACAGGAATAAAACCAATTATAAGTCTTCTTTAGGTATGGGGATTGGTATTGGAAGTGATGACCGAAGGCAAAGTGCCCCTAACATAGCCCCTGTCCCTCCTCTTTCAGTCAAAGAACTTGTTGAAACCCATTAGTCTTAATATTCAAATGATCGCTGTAGAAAACTGCTGGGTAGGTGGAGCTCATAATCCCTGAAAGGCAGTCCACCTTGGAAAAGGAAAATTCTGATTATACAAACTCCTGGACCCAACTAGTGGGTCAGGCTGAAGTAAGGAGCAAGGAGTAATTTTAAAGAATAAAAATATCAACGTCAGTACCAAATGTTGTGCTGGAACATCCAATGCATTTGATAACTTGTCTTTTATAAAATGAAATATTACTATCCATAAAGATTTAACCAATTAACATGATAAAGGCTTCATTTGTTAGCAGAATTTGCTGTGTTTAGTAGACAGAGAAAGCTTAAAATAAGTTTGAAGCAATTGGGGCTATAAAGGCTTGACTGCAATTTTCTTCTTTTGGTGCATGTGTTAGCGTGAATAATCACAACGAATATATGAGCTAAGCCATGCAAAGTAATATTTCCTGTCATTTTGCTAAATCACATAACTGTATGCCGAAAGGAGAAAATCGCAGTTTAAATCGCTTGTGTGAATGGGCCTTAACATGCATGCAGGTGTGAATTACCCAAGTTCTTTCAAAATATTTAAAATGATCCTCCCTGTCATGGGGAGATAATTCCAGTAAAATGGTTTAATTTAATGAAATAATAAAGTTTTCCTCAATGATCAATAACATAATAACAACATGTGCAACAAATATTTGCAATCTAGCAGGTTGATACCCAGAGTATATCCCATTTGGAGAAGGATATCGTTTCCGTATTGCTGTAACACAACAGCTTGGAATCGTTCTCCTGTTCCCACTTCCTTATCTTTTCATGTTGCCAGAGTACATGTTGTTTGTAAGTAGTATGACGAAAATTTTCATTGTTTCTAACATTTAACACTAAACAGTCTTCCCGGCCCTGTAATGCATGGCCAGCTCCAGAACGTTTCCATCAAGTACTAACTGTGGGGAACAGAGGGGCTAGGGTCATGCAAGGCTGTATTGTTTGTGTACAGCATTTGTTTTCCAATTGTGTTGGCATTGCAACACAGCATCCACATTCACAACACTCTGGGACATTTTCTGGGTTTTCCTCTGGGTCTGGTTGAAGCAGTGCACCTGGCAATTCATTATTTACCAAATCAGCGAATGTAGCTGGCTGACGCTGTATATGGCATTTAGGCTGACGCTCATAGGGCATTTAAAATTAAATCCATTGCTTCCACAAGATTCTGAAATGTAAAGATATTTATCACTAATTAAATGCAAAGACTCAAGCACAGTGAAACACTGATATTTTTTACCACAAATTCCTCTATAGACTTGTATAGACGGGTAAACTCTTCTTACATAATTTGATATTTTACTTGGCAAGGATATGCATAATTATGCAGGGTATGTATTAATAAAACAAATCATATGTGTTAAAGCTTTCAGAAATGTACTGTCACTCAAATGTATGTCTGTGCATATTCTTGGCAGGCAAAGTATTAAACTACAGTATGTAAACAAAGTTTATTCATCTATTGTTAGATGATCATTATCCTTCGTTTAGAGTGAACAGTCACAATGAACAACATTACATATTTTCAAATGAACATTGTTCAGGCCATTTTTTGCGTAAACAAAACATGTATAAATTACAATGAGCGAAAATAATAAGATTACATGTACATGTGTGAATCACGTTTATAACGAACAGTATAACGAACAGTGTCAGTACGTAACTAATAGCAATAATACAAACTCACCGTCTGGTCACTAGCTGTCACGTTCTTGAACCCTTCGATTGTTCATACATGTATCAAAATCCTATTCGTGGCACACGCTTGAGCAAAAACTACCCATACTTTTGCAAGCTCTCTATCGAAAACAGAAGCCGCGACATGAACATATCGTCTCCACATTAGCAGAAATATGGGACAAGATGGAGACGGACATGCGCACATTGCCCCCAATATGGCGACTAAATATTACTATAAACTATACAGGGATTTACAAAAATGTCAAATTTTAACCTACTTTGTTTAGATATCTCATGGTTGCGGACTTCGATAATAACAACAGCACGAACAAGCAGTATTTGTAAACCAAAATCGCTAGCATTTGTACACGTCTAAGTGGTTCCCGTGATCAGTGTATTTTCACTAGTAATTCGAAGTATTTGATAGTGTAATCTATAGTAATCTTGCCATACATGAGGTAAAACTCCGCCGAATAGACCAACATTCTTTCGCGCGATGTAAACTGCGGACTTCGCGATGTATTTAGCGATGTTCAAACTGTCAGTATAGCTTAACATATCCCAGGTAATTCTGCGACAAACCGGTTCCAAAATCGTTTAAAACTTTGCCTTTTTATGAGTCTTGCTTATCGCCATTAGGTTATATTTATAGTCGAAAACGACAAGTCTAAATACAAATTTAGGCTCTTTCGAGCAGCCATGTTTCTTGTTTACTAGCAAAGCTTGTACCCAGTCCCTCACTTAAGAAAAACAGAGAGATTTGAGAGATTTTGTAGCTCGATTTCGTGTTGATATAGCAATTTGCGTGCGGATATTTCGCGGGGTATTTAAAATCTCTTTCGCGGTTAAGTCAAAATGTCGGAAGTGCTCGAAGAATACAGCAAAAGAAAGTTAGATTGGAAATTGAAAGTAAGTTCTGAAGCTCCTCTTACTTATGTTAGGCAACAAGTGGACTTATTTAACAAGATTCTCCTTTGTGTGGAGATTCCATGGCCACTGCTTAATGTATGGAAAAATATTCGCGAAACAACTTCCTGTGAAAATGTAAATTATGTTGACTTATTTAATTTAACTGTGCCAGACAAATGGTTTGCTTTAAAACCCGGTAACCAACGTATCGAAGAACTACTTCGTAAGGAATGCAGTGCTGTGAGTGCTGTTTGTCGAAAGACTAAAGGGAGAAAGAGAAAAGTGCTGGATGACAAAGTGTACAAACTTAGTATTTTAAGGGGAGATATCGAGACGACTGATTCATTGAAAACAGAGGTGGAAATTATAAACGAAGAATTTGAGGAGTTTAAAGAAAAGTACAATGACATAGAGAAGGAGAAAAACACACTATATGAAGAAATGATCTTGGAAGTAAATAAACTGAAACAGGAAGTATGTGACCTTAAATATGTAAACAAGGAGTTAATGGATTATATTGATACACTAGAGAAAAAGGACTCCCTGCAATGTCAGGGAAATAAATTCCAAGATGTTGGTAAGAAACAACAGACAAGGAAGCTTCGGCATCTTAGAAGTAAGGCAGAGTGTGCATTGTGGTTTTGTGAAAGCTTTGGCCTCAAACTTTCAAACATTAAACTGAAAGATGATACTGGGGCAAGTCACTCCCTTGATTACAACTCATCCCCTGCTGGTGTCTCAGGTTTGAGTCAGGACGACCAAAGTACCATAGAGAAAGTTCTGTTTTTGTTGGACAAATTTTGTGTGGGTGATGAAGTCTATCACGAGTTGTCGGTTTTGTCAGAAGATCTCCCAAGGTCATACCTCATAAAACAAAAGCGGTCAGCTTTGAACAAGACCTATCATATAGAAAGAACACGTGGGCAATGTCCTGGAGCAAGAATAAATTTCACATCAACCCTTTCAGAGCATGTGAAAGATCTATTAGCACAAAAACCAGAACTACAAGAAGAAGGCATTCAAGTAAAGTTAAGTGGGGATGGCGCTCGAATGACCCGGTCGACAAATTTCATGATGTTTTCGTTTGCGCTATTGCAAGAAGAAAATGTTATGTCATCCAAGAGTAACCGCACTGTGGCAATCATCAATGGTAAGGAAGAATATGAAACTGTCGCAACATCATTATATGACTTCTTTCAAGAGGTTAATTTATTAATTGAAAAAGGGACTATACTTGTTGATGGAAAAGAAGTAAAATTAGAATTCTTTCTGGGTGGGGACTTTAAATTCCTAGCCATGATAATGGGTCTAAACTCAGCAACAGCCAATTATGCTTGTTTATGGTGTAAAATTCATAAAGAAAGCAGATGGGATACAAGTAAATGTTGTAATTTTTACCATGAGGTGAAACAAAAGAGAACCTTGGAAGAAATGAAACACATGTGTCAGAAAAAGAATGACAACTTTGGGTGTATTCACCCCCCCCCCTGATAAACATAGACCTTGATCATGTGGTTCCGGATGAATTACATCTACCACTAAGAATAACCGACAGACTGCTGCAAAATGTTATTGATGAGATTTTGGAACGCGATTCCATTGCAGACTTTAACAAGCCGAAAGGCAGTCCAAAGGGCCTTTTACTGCAGCAGTTTGTCAAGGATGTGAATGATCTTGGTGTAACATTTTCTGTATGGTACAAAAAGAATGCTGACGGTTCAAGCAGCAAAATTCTGGACTACACCAGTTGTGTTGGAGCCCAAAAGAAACTACTTTTATGCAAACTTCCCTCCATACTACATAAATATCTATATCCAGACACTGCTGCAATTGTCAGTAAAATATGGAGTGATTTCAAATTTTATTATGACTTCATAACTGATAGCAAGTTAGACAGCTCTTCAGCCTATGAAGCATTTGAGAAAGCTAAAAATTGGATTGAATTATTTTGTTCCTTAAGGCATACCCGACCTGGATATACCAGACCAAGAATTACCCCTTATATGCACATCATGTGTTACCATGTGCCTTTCTTTATTCAGCAATATGGTTGTTTTAAAAAGTTTACTGGACAAGGCGTTGAAAAAAATAACGACGATGCCAAAAGGGTATTGTTCCAGAAGTCGAATAAATGGGATGCGGCCAAAGACATTTTATTTATGGAAAGTAGACAGTGGGACCTAAAGGAACATGAGCGGAACAAAGGTACATACACCAAGAGGAACAGTGAATATTGGAATGTTGAAATTAGCAACCAAAGAAAAAAAAGAAAAATGATTGATGCAGTACCTGCCCACCAGGAAGATGAATCTGCTGATGATACTGCCTCAGGAGACACAGCACTTGCATTGGTTGCTGCTGATTACAAAAGTTTTACAGTTAAACAGTTGAGAGAAGAAATCAAAAGCAAGGGAATTAATATACGATGACTTGGAAAAATGAAGAAAGCTGAGCTTTTAAGTCTTCTTGAATCTTCATAAATCTTCATAAAGTGAAGTGAAAACCAACAATGTGTGAAAATCAACAATGCAAGCACATACTGTTAACATTAACCCAATTGTTATTTTATTGCTGCACTTGCCAGACTTGATTGTACAGGGAGATGTGACTAATATGATCAAGGCTTTATTTATGTTTAATACAAATGGTGACTATATATTATTGTTAGTAACAAATTTATTTACATCTTGCTGCACACAGGTATGCAACTTTGAACCCAGCATCTCTAATCTGCACTCCTCTTCTTGCTTTAGTGAAAAGATGACTGCAGATTAGATAGCCTGGGTATGAGAATAACTTGCCTGCAGGATACAAACATGCAACCCTGCAATTAAGCAACAGGTCATGCCATACACTTTTTTTGTAGCCAAGCCTGGTACAGCAGTCTGAACACAGTAGTTACCTTGGTTAGGATGCCTAGGTTACCTAGGCATACCCAGGTTAGACTAACGATCATCAAGAACTAAGCCTCAGGAACCTTTGTAATTGGGTTGTAAGTGATACCTGTTAAGGCTATTATCCGTCCACCTCACAGTGATAAAACATGAATATAAATAAATATTTAGGTGCAAGTTTATGACCAGTTGCTATGGCTAGCATTTCCACTTTCCACTCTCCTCCACAGAGGCTATTAATAATAGTGTTGGCTTTCCAAGACTATTATTAATAGTGTCTGCAGAGGAGAGTGGCCACTTGCTAAAGTGGTGAATACTGATGAACATAATATTAATTTAACCCATTAAGCGCCAGCGCTCTCCCCTTGATGAGTAAAATAGTCTGGCGTTAGACAGAGTAAAATACTAAAGTAGGGTGCATCAGCGTGCAATGAGACTCAATGGGTTAGCTAGACACATGGGCAGATAGGCCAGTTAACCCATTAAGTGCCAGCGCTCTCCCCTTGACAAGTAAAATCGTATGCCGTTAGACAGAGTAAAATAATAAAGTAGGGTGCATCAGGGTGCAATGCGACTCAATGGGTTAATTAACTTAACAAGAGGAAGGAAGTTTAATAAAACAAATAGAAATTTTTTCAGTATATGATCGGGGTGCTTCGACATTGAGTCGGCTTTTCTTTGGAAATTTGGAGGTGAACGGTGAATAAATTTTCTCATCTTGACTGGAAATTTCATCCGAACACCATCTCCATGAATGTCAAACAAGCAATTCCAGTTTGGTGGAAGTTTGCATTTTGAAAAATCATGTTCTTCAAACAAAGTCCAATGCATTTGCTCTGCAGGCTTCCCTTTTCCAGCAAACAAGAAGTTATAGACATCATGCCTGAACTCCACTGTTACTCTCTGCTCAGGCCATCTATGTCTCAACGAGTCCACAACCTCTCGCCTTAAACGGTCAATAGACTCTTCTACCACAGCACGAGGAGGATTTGGCTTTTCAAAATATCTGAAGTGGAATTAAAAATAATTCCATCTCAAAATAGGTTCTACTTTTGGGTGATTAATCTACTAATTTAGTACTTGAGTACTTCATCTATGATCTACGCTTAGGATCGATACCATATATTTGCAGAACGTTGATCTTAAAGAACATTGACGAGTGAATTATGCTACAGTTGCTATAAAGATTTACCTCAAAGAAGCAGTAGAAATGTGGTCTTCAGGCTCCCATGTATTTTCGAAGGAGCTATAACCCTGCCACTTAACCAAATACTCAAATCCCTATAAGTAAATACAAACCATTTTAAGTAAAAACATTGTTAAAAGAAAATATAGAAATATTATAAATAAAGGACAACATGCCTACTGTTAAAAATATACTACGAATGTTTACCCAAAAATAGAACAAGTTAAATTGATATTTACCTGCCTATTTTTTCTTCGCGATATTAAACGCTCGGCCTCAAATACGCCAACAGTCCGCGGCTTTGGTTTCCTCTTACTATCGTCGTAAAGGATATCAACGGAGCTCAAGTTATTTAAAATATTGTATGGCACACGTCCTTTGCCTTTGGCAGTTCGAGTCGCCATTTTGATTTTTCAAGCGATTAGCCGCTGCCTACAAACGCGGGCGCAAAATGTCCCATATTTCTGGTAATGACGTATCTTCCAGCGAAAAGCTTTCTCCGAGTGCTTCTGCCATGACAGCAACAACGACTCTGGCAATGTGTTTCGACGAACAAATAACCCAAGGAAAGGTTCATGATTACTTTGGCACTTCCAAAGTTTATTTTACAATGCCGAACATTATATTCAGAATACGTACAATGAGTTGCGAACTCGCACCTTTGCTTTGCTGTGTCGGCCTCTTCTGGATATTTCATTAACGAAGCACACGAAAGAAAAATGCCGAATTGATCAACAATATATCTTCCATTGGTGGTCTGTTAAAATATTTAATTGCTTGTCTTTCAGAAGACAATTAAAAAAAAATTAACTTCACTCCTGGCTCCTTCATTTATAATTTGTTTAGTGCATAGCCGTTATACTTCATATTATACAATTGAAGTGGATCCAAACCAAAACAAAAGATGTAAACAAAGCCCGCACATGCGCAGAATGGACTGTAACCCAGCTTTAAAAAAGGTAAACTTGCTATAGTGAAACACAAGTCATAATGAAGATCGCAACAATACAGCAATATGCTGTTTTCACAGAGTATCTGACACTCTTGTCGTTCGAAAGCTTCCATATTTTTTTAGTCAGAGAGATGTTCACTCCTCTACAGTCAACAGTCAATGAAGCCACGCGTGGAATTAGGCGCTCAATGTCCATGATGCTTTGCGGCCTGCTGTCCAACCTCCTCTGCTGCATTCTCTAAATGTCCTAAATGTCAAACATATTCAGTATTCGTATTTGTAACATACACGCACAGACGAGTCTTTCACTTATCTTTGAGTAGGCTATTGTTGGATTATTTTACCGTAGGTTTGATAACAGGGAGGTGTACTTCGACATATTTCTTGAGCATCAAGCTGTGAGGATGGTTCTGAAGTTTCAGCAGTCCAATATTTCAGATATCAAAGATCTCTATATATTTCGTTACACATCTCAGTATTAAATAAATCCTTTAGGATAGACATCAACAGCTAAATAACAGCCACATTGGTCGGTACTGGTGTAGAAATATATTTTCTTGTAACGTTTGCGACGTGTTGATTTCTTCGACGAGCTGTATCGGCATAATTTGTCTATTGAAATCTGATCTATCTTAACTCACCGACATTCTGCGCACAATGAAATTTGATATTTACTGTTGTGTAACATTGATGGTCTTCATGACAAATAAAATATACAATTTTGTAAATATTTCCTGCATGATTTCTGGGTTATTTCTTCGCTCACACCTTGCTCAATGACAAAACGTACTTAGGTACCCACCCTAATTGAAATTGTTTGTTATCTCCCAGATTCTGGGAGACACGTGACCAGCCGATAGCAGGGTCTTTCCCAGCCGGTGGAAAGTCGCTGCGACGGAGGTTGGAAATATGGTAGGTCCGGAAAATTTTTTAAGTACCCCCGAAAAACATGTACAAGAACATACTGAACATTTTAGGTTAAAAGTCTACGACGCAGCATAAGCCGTCAATGCATGGACGAGAAATTCGACACGGGAAATTTTCCGTTGCTTGTAAACACGGAAATTTTTCTTATCCTTCGGGCTTTTGACATTGCTATATTATAAAAAAAAATATAAAACATTTTTTCCGTATTGATATATAGTTATATCAACACTCGTGGAAGCTGGGAAAACTCGAAATTGTACGAAAACACTCCGCCCGTTTCCATACAATTTCTCGTTTTCTGTTCTATATAACTGTATATCAACACGAAAAATGCTTTATATTTGTTAAATATCATATATTTATATATACATAAACGATAATAATACTTGAATGAATCATTGCACATGTAGAATTTAATAACAATTTCATGTATAGAAATACTATAATACTAGAAAATACATGCATGCAGAAACCCTCGCCTTGCTGACAAAACCATTCTATTTTCCGAACATGAAGTATCTAAAGTAGTTGCCATGGTAACACGATAAGTTTTTAAGTATATTCTTACCAATGAAAAATCGCCTAAAAATATCACTTTTAATTACAAAATTATCAATTTCTCAACATATATATGTTAGGTATGTTATTATACGTAATATAAGCCTCAATTTAAGGTAAAATTCAACCACAAACGCTTAGCAAAACGTTTTAAAGGGTTGTTTATAAAACTAAACTGCCTTTAATTAAATGGCTTTAATATCGATAAACTTTGAGTTTGCAATAATAAAAATGATTCAAATTCTCGCTTGCAAATAACTTTGCTTTCTTTTTTATTTAAAAAATTCAATATAATAAAAAAGGGAATCAATATTAAAGACGGGTTACAGTCCGTCAAGAAGGTTACAAGATTTGTATTGTAACTATTGTTCACACTAGCAACTTTCTTCAGGACTGTGATCATGATGTTTTTCAAAATAAATGTCACAACAGAAAATACAGTTACTATTGTATTTTCATCAATGTTCCTACATGTATCATGAGAAGAAATTTGCCAAGAAAATTGCTAGTGCGAGTAAGGGCTAATGGCAATGTTTAGAACATCTGACTCAAAACAAATTTCTTGGAACAACAATATTCTACATATACAATGTTATCTTGATCTAACAGAGCACATATTTAATTTCTTCCTGTCGGCATGGAGAACACAATGTCTACAGTTGCAGCAGTCCAGATTTTGGTGGGTGTAGCCATGAATATGGTGGTGGTGATGTGCAAATTGTCCTCAATTTTCCGTGAATGAGAACCTATAGTATCAATGTTTCCAAAAAAAAAAGATTTACATGGGGTATATACACTTCACAAACAATCATGCCATGTCATTCAACATAGTACATATTTGTCCAGTGCAGCAGTGATACAACAATGATTGAATGTATGGTCAGCAGGACTGGGTCCCATGTGAAAACCAACATACAGTACAATCATGTCCGATTTAAAAAAAATATATGCTGCTACCAAAAAGTTCATATGGAGATGCCTGATTATGAATTACAAAACAATCATCCAATAACTCAATCCCAGTAGCATTTTGATAACAGCTCACCATATAAAGATGAAATCAGTTTTATCCTTGACTGAATCTAGTACTGAGCCTGCAGTGATAAATTAGATTTCAAGTGCGGACTATATTTAAATAGTCTATACATGTCTTGAACAAGTTGAACTATAAAACTCAGAGATCCCATATTTTCTCAGACAGTAAATGAATGTAATTGCCCTAGCTTAAAAATTGTTACAAATTCACAGCGAATTAGAGATCCAGTCTCGACTCAGGAGAACGAAATAATCAAATGTATAAACAAATATTTACCTTTATATGTACGACATGGCGAAGCGCTTGACTGAATTTCAAATAAACACACTTTAAAGGCATCCTTGTTGGCGTAATATATTCTTTCCTTGTTCTCATATTGTTTCAATGATTTGTTATTAATCGGATTTCACTTCATAAAAGTCACAAATCGTTGAAAATCTCTTCGAAACTGTGTATTCCCACTCCTTGTATCAACAAATATGGAATCGCGCGTATATTACGCAATCGGACTGGAAACCATGGAACAAGAGATAAGTAGTCTACCAAAACAAAAAGAATCGCACATGCGCAGCACGGACTGTAACAGATACACTGAGATTATATGCTGTCTTGTTTAGTTGTTTCATATACGCAAACCCAAAGGCCGTCGGGTTTTATTAAAAACCATTATAAAATCACAGGCGGCCCAATCTCGCAAGGGTCAGTATAGACTTATAGTATAAATGTACAGGGTGTATAAAAAAAAACGCAAACTCGGAATTTCCCAAGAAATCGACATTGTTTTAAAGACAAAAGATTTTAGGCGCCTGGGAATTTAAAATAGCACAACTGTCAAAATTACTGCACACGCGAGTGCATAAAGCAAAATTTATGCATTTATTTAATGCACAACAACAGTAATATGATCTATTAACAATCCGATTTCAATTCCCAGGGGCCTAAAATCTTTTATCCTTAAGGTGGTCTTCCACCCAAATTTTCCAATATTCGTTATTTTTTAGAAAAACAATGTTCTTATAAAATCCGTGTAATTTTAAGAACGAAAATGTACCGTAAACCAGAGAAATCCAGCAAATTCTACACCTTCGTAGGGTAAAACCACGATTTTACCCGGAGCGATAAAGATATGCGATTGGTTTAGTCTATTGTTCCATTTTCAATTATATTGTTCTATCTAAGTTATTCTAATATATGCAAAAACTTTAAAATCGCTTTTCTCACATGAGCATTTTGCGAAATACTAAAAACTCTCCTACTGTTCATACTGAATCAATTCGTTCGAAATTTTCAGAGTTTATTTGCTTGTTACATAGCCATGTCATGGACCTAAAAAACTTCATATATCAGCAATATACATTGCAAGAGTAGCCTTATAAGAACTCCTTTCTTCATATAATTTTAAAAAAGTTAAATATGAAGGCCTTATTATATTACTTGTATATTTTTTTAGGTTCATGACATAGATCGATGTATTAAGTGTCCATTAAAGCTGTTTCTAAAATCCTCGGTAAATTAGTTTGGCTCACATCATTTTTGGAGCAAACCCTATATTTTACCCAATAGCGAGGCCTATCTTAGTTACTATGGCAACGACGAATGTAAAAGTTACTGATCCTGCGTCAGCTGAGGATATTCCATCTTATTTGACTCAAATATGATGATAAAACCTTTAAATTGAAAAAATGTTTTTAGGGTGGAAGACCCCCTTAAGAATTGCAAAGTGATTTCTTAGGAAATTCCGAGGTTGCGTTTTTTTTATACACCCTGTATATTATATTAATGTATATTATAGTAAAAATTAGTCTCCCTCGCAGCCTGTTCGCGGGTATTCCCACTCACAGGCTGCTAGCTTTCGAACAACATTCCTTTCTGCCTGCTTAGCCAATGACAATCAAGGTTCCATATTTCGGAACTTTTTGCCGCCATATTACAGAGCCAATCACAATCAATGTTTCAGACGTATTCTGAGCCGAAAATCACTGAACAATATGGCTTCTCTGGAAAAAACATTGGATATTGCTGCTCACAAGTTCAACATTCGCTGCCTTAATCCGCATCAGAAAACAGCGATTCGAACAGTAATTATTGAAAAGAAAGACGTGTTTCTAAATTTGCCCACTGGCTTTGGAAAATCGCTCATGTACCAGGCACTTCCGTTTGTAATAGACGAGGTGTCCAGATGGCCAGGTCATATTGTGGCAGTTGTCTCCCCGTTGTTAAGTCTCATGGATGAGCAAGTAGCACACCTTACAAGTCTGGGAGTAAGCGCGGTTAATATAAGCTCGTGCATGGAAGAAGATTGCGATGGTGTCGAAGCTGGTGAATATTCTATCGTTTATGGCACGCCAGAAGCGTGGATACTGAACCCTCGATGGAGAAATATGCTTTAATAATAGTAAAGTTTATTTGACAAGATTATGTGCTCTAGCAGTCGATGAGGCCCATGTTATCAGACAGTGGTGAGTTTAGTTAAAATTTATAATTTTAAACGATATAAAGCTAACTAATTTTATCGATTCATAGTGAAAATCAGAAAATGTTCTAAAATATGGTAAATACAATGTTTGATTCGGTTTAATATAATAATTTTATGTTTGATTATGTAATTTATATTTATATTATTTATATACGACTCAAATATGACAATGAATTTGAGTTTCTCTGCCTTGTTGTATATACATACAATTTAAATATATTATAAGTACAGCAGTCAATTATTAAACCCTGTGGACCTCGTTCATTTACTACATATGCAGTGGGCATAATTCAATACTACATTGCATACATAGACTACATACTAAATGAATGTTCCCTATGCCTATAAAATGACAGTTTCCAAACCATGTGTTAATGCTTAACACTTCAGGTAGGTGTTGCGATATACATTCACTTTGGTTTAGTATTTACTGCGAAATGTTGAAATGTTTTCAATATTTATATCATCAATTTATCGTAGTTGAACTATATTAATAATCTTAATAAGTAATGTATTGATGCATGACTAAAAATAGAAGTGGTTTAATATTTTTTTATACTTTCCCTTCCCAGGGGGATATCACAAGATAACAAAATGGCTGCATTCCGTGAAGCATACAGCAAGTTATATGAACTCAGGTCATTAGCACCAAATGTTCCAGTGATTGCCCTAACAGCTACAACAACACATCTGACTAAAGAATGCATCTTGAGTATTCTATGCATGGATGACTGTTCTAAAATTGAAGAGAGTCCAAATAAGCTGAATGTATCATATGCTGTGTAGTGTATGCACAAGGACACACAGTTGGAGTTTTATTTTACTTGGCTAGCTGATGAGTTAAAGTCTAAAGAAAAGCAATGTGAAAGGACTATTATATACTGCCAGACAATCAAGCAACGTTCTATTATATATGTCACCCTTAAGGGAATTTTGGGGAACTATATGTTTGCCAGAGAAGACAAGAGTGTTCTTATGGAAATGCTTCACTCCTGCACCCAAGAAGATAACAAAAAATGTATCCTTGAATCTTTTCAAAATGTAAACGGAACAATTCAAATTTTAGCTGCAACTATTGCTTTCGGCATGGGTGTTGACTGTAAGGCAGTTCATCGTGTCATACATTATGGACCATCAAAAACCATTGAAGCATATGTACAGGAGACTGGACGTGCTGGAAGAGATGGGGTGCAGAGCAGCACATTCATTTTATATCATGGAATTCTTCTAAATCATGTTGACATGAACATAAAATCATTTGTCAAAACTAAAGATTGCAGGAGAAAAACTCTTCTGGATCATTTTGAAGCTGATTGTAAATTGCCACTTTATCTGCATCTTTGTTGTGACAACTGTGCATCTATTTGTGAATGTGGACAAGCAGACTGCGGGCAGTATACAAAATACTCAATCGCTGATTGTTACAAGGATGTACTGTTTAGTGGGAGGAAACGAGAAGTTAGCAATGAGCAAAAGAATTAGTTGATTGAGAATGCTCTGATACAATACCAGAAGAAACTTCTTATTGAACTTGCTAACACAACTGCAAAAGCAGAAATCAAAACTTTAACAAACATTCGACTCATGTTAGGGTTTTCTGAACATATTAGAATTTAAATTTCTGGGCGGTGAAATGTTTTCCGGGGGTTGTTGTTTTTAGGGGTGCAGTCAGCCCATGCACCCCCCAGAAATCCATCTATAATGGTAAGACGTAAGACTGTTGCCATCCAATTCACATTTTCAGATTACCAGATTACAGTTCTCCCAATAAATTAATTTTTTTATAATCATAAACAACCTTTTTATTTTTCTGCGACATTTCGTCTGTATATTTATGCGGAATGTGTTGGACACATGCTTCAGCTAAGGGTTCCAAAGCATCAAATAATCTACCAGTATTCTAGAGGTAAGAATGATATAATTGTGCCTTTGTTTCTGCTGGTCACCAATTGATGGTAGAAACTTTATAACAGGTATATTTTTGACATGTGTCTTTGGTCCGACTGAATCTAGAAAAGCACCTAAAGAATAGAGACTTTATTTAACAATGATTACACATGACAGTGGACACTGACATGTATGTAGCCCTCACCTGAAACTCTATTCTCAATGTGCTGATGATTTACCCAATGAAAGTCCTTATTTTAAGACTTCAATGTCATATTCTTTCGGCTTACATGAATGTCAATATTGTCAAATGATATGACAAAACCAGGATGAACAGATTTTTTCAGGTCTCTCTTCTCTTGCAATGCCATAGACAATTCATTTATTTTAATACCAGGGGTCAAGGACAGTTGTTTACACGTTTCTGCAACCGTACATAGAACCTTGTTGTCATGGGTGATTTGATCTTTCGATTTGATAAGAACAGCGTCATGATTTTCCCCAAGATGATCTAGCTTTGCCAATATGTTGCTGTTTGAGTAAGTCACCTTTAACTTTATTATTTAATCTGCATATTGTGGACTGAAATATAAATTACAAATTATTGTTTAGAACAAAAAAGAATGACACAGAGTAAGGGGCGGACCATTAGAATTCCAGGGAGGGTGGCAATAAAATTTTTTTCAGTCTCATGTCTCTGCAGGATATTTTTTTTTAATGCATTTAACCTCTGCAAGAATTTTTTTTCAAGACTATTTGTACTTTGCTGTTAGCTTGCACGATTTTTTTTTCTGACGTAATGGCTGCACGAATTTTTTTCCAGGCATTTTTCTTTGCACGAATTTTTTTGGGGAATTTTCACCCCCCCCCCCCTCCCGGGATTTCTAATTGTCAGCCCCTAATATTTCAAATATTATGAATGTAAACTATGAAGTAAATGAGGTGTGGTTTCTTAGAAAATTTATTTTTTGTAGTGCTGCGCTGTAGTTTAGAGGCGTCACAGGCTTGTCTATTTCAACTTTCAAAGATATCGAAATCTATTTTCAGTAAAGTCTAAAGAAATAAATTCAAAATGTGATACAAATTCGAAACACAGTGATTCAACGCACATGCAATACATAATGAATATTTGTCACATAATTCATAAACCCATCATAGACAAAGACATAAACGTTTTGCCAAGTAATATCGATTTGCAGAGATCGATTTCCGATTCTTAAAGAGGGAAACCCCCTCAGGGAAAACCCTTCACTTAAATATTGCTATGCAGGTATAAAATGATTTATTCATTCTAAATATAAGACCACTAAACATATTTGCTGCCGAAGGCAGCACACTCAACCTCGTACCCAGGGCTTCTGCGCTTATTGCTCTCAGAAGCCCTGGGATAATCCAATTCAGAACGTGATTTGATTGGTCAATGCGAATACAATGAAAGTACCGGAAGTTATTCATTAACCGGGTGATATTTTGGCAACATGGCTGCTATCACAAGGAGTGTATACAAAAGTTAAATGCTGGTTTTTGCATGAAAATACTTTTTTAAACAAATTCTGGGTTATTTTGAAAAGAAAAAAAGAAGGAATGGACTATTTGTATTTGTATTTGTATTAAATAAGCAAGAATGGCGAACAAAGTACAAAATTTAACATAATAAAACAACTACAACTACAACTTCAACCACGATATTCAATGTAAATATTACATAATAAAGTTTTTAATACCTTTTTTACCTTTATTTGATAAATTGTGTGTTCTATATTATTGCATTTTGTATTGGAATAGGATAAATTATTAATTATACACAAATATTTAAATTTTAATACAAATATTCTTATATTCCCAACTTGAGGATGCCTATTTATTATTGAGTTATTAGTGCCTCTAAATCTCTAATGTACAAACATTGTAAACTGTTACTTAATACCATAAAGAAACTGTTGATAGCACATATATTAAATGACTGTTAATCAAAATGAACTAAATTTTCAATCATTATACAGCATATTTCCCCCAATATTGAGAGAATAATTTCTCCTATTTATTTTTATAATAAACCAATATTGCTCAACTGTGAAGTAAATATTGCCCAACTGGCTTAGTCTGCCCAACAATCGGGCCCCGCCCTGTATGCCTATCAGGGGCGAAACTTGAGGGAAGGTATGGGGGGGGGGGTGTGAATGTCTGTGCAAAAAAAACATTTTGTGCAGGGCATCATCGGCTATCGCAGGGCAATTCTAGCAGACACCTCCCTAATTAAAAGGGGCTAGTTTCACCCCTGATGCCTATGGCCAAGCCTACAGGTGGACCCCCAACATGATTGGTCACAATTTTTCTTTCTCCAAAATTGCCCCTCCCCATGTACAAGGATTGACAATTTGACAGCTTGATTACATTTGAAAAAAAAACACTGTTATATTGGATCATTCCAGCAAACACCCCCATGGAGGAAATTGAAAGTTAATCCCTCCTACCCCTTTAGATGTCCTAATACATTTACTATTATCAGAAACAATTTTTCCCCCCTCCCCCTCTGAATGGCAGAAATTTCCTCTGTGGGGGGAGTGTGGATCTTTTCTGTAACAACCCATTTGAGAAATGCTTTTGCACAAATTTTCTTACAAACACAACTCATCACTGTATGTCAGAACCCTGTTCTAAGTTGCAACTAAAATCCAGAGGTCTAAACGGCTCAAGTCAATTCCAGAGGGGAGAGGTCAAAATATTTTAAATGTTCCAGACTTGTTTGTAATTAAGTAGTTGAACATGTGTTAACTGCATGGTTATTTCAAATCACCAAAACACATTAAAATAGCCCCCCAAAATGGCACTT